GTTTTGTTTTCTAGCATGACGTTAAATAAAAAACAAACAACAAACAATTTTTTGAAATTCGAATAATCGAATCTTCACCTTTTCCCCCTCTCCCTCCCTTTCGCGCTCGTCGCATTCTATCAAATCGTTGTGATCGAGTCACTGGCATTTTCACCATGCCTCCTGTTCGAAAAAAGCGTCCCAACGCCAAGTTGGACAGCATGAGAGTCCACACAAGGGCTCTCGAGCAATTATCTGGCCTTGCCCAGTCTCCGAAATGCGCGGAGATGAGCAAGGTTTCAACTAAAGGGAAGGAATAAGCCCTCCCCGCCGTCACTGAGCCCGATACTGATATGATCGGGTCAGTTGAAATTGTTGAGGAATTTCCCCAACCATCCTCCGTCCCTCACGGGACTGGAGAATCGTCAAAATCTCCTCCGACAGCGTCAAAACCGTCGGAAAACGCTGCAGTCAAAGCAGCGCCAAAATCAACGTCGCAGCCAAAAGCTGCCACAAAAGCAGAGTGTCCCCTAGGGCTTCGACCAATTGTCGAAGCTGAACAACGACGCGTCGCCGAAACAGCGGCAAATCTGGCCCTCTGCTCCGCCGCCATCTCTGGCGTCGAAGCCACCCTTCTACCTTTGACCAACGGGTCAAATAGACAATTCGGAGACTCCATGAGAGTCTACCTACGCGCCGCCATTGCGCAATACATGGCCACAGGCCCGGCCACTACGCCACCCGTTCTCCCTCCTCGCCCGACGAACCCTCTCCCAAGGGCTCCCGTAGCCAGGAGTAACACAACTCCCGCCGTCCCAGTTCTGCCTGTCAAAAGCACCTGGGCCACGATGGCCAGACATGGACTGCAACAAAAAGCAGTCCCAACTGTGAAGGCTGTGCCGCGACCTGCAGCCAAAGCCCAACAAAAAGAAAACCCCAAGGCGAAAGTCGATAAGCGACTGTTCCTTCGCGTTGAAAAGGAACACCCGTGGCGAAAATTGTCCACAAGCAGCGTGGGAACTAAGTTAGAGTATACATTCAGCTACTTTAACCAAGAAATAACCTCACTCCACCGAGTGAGAACGGGCTTTGCTATGCTAGCAAAGAACGAAAAAACACGACAAGAGACTTTAGATAGCTCTTCGAAGCTGGCGAGTCAAAACGTCAAACTCGAGGCATCTTCGGATCTTGTCGCCTTACAGATACCGAACGTACCTGTAAGTATAGTTACAGTGTGCGGCACCAGGGCGGTCGATGCTAGCTGGGTCTCTGCCAAGATTCTCGGTACGACCGGCGTGATTCCAATCCAGGTCCGACCTCATGGGACATGTCGACCTGGGGCACCGTATCAAAACTGGCATGCCCTTTTCACGCGGGACAACGCCCCTCGTGCGGGCTTCCGCCTCTTTGACGAGTCTGGTATGGCAACCATTCACAAGCCTCGTCGCCATATCGAACAGTGTAAACGCTGTTTGGGCTTCCACGCCACTCGTGGATGCTCCCGCGCTCCAGCCTGCTGAAACTGCGGATCAAATATGCACTCGGAAGCCGAGTGCAAGGCCCTCACTAAGTGTCGCAACTGTGGGGGACCCCACCGATCAGATTCTCGGGACTGCAAAGTCAGACCCAGAAAGCCTGGGCCGATAACCAAAGAGCAGCTCGCGTGGATACACCACCTCGAACAAGGGGAGTTCGAGAAGGTTGCACGGGCCAGAGCTGTAGCAAAAAAAGCCGAAGAGGCGATCATCGCTGGAGCGAAGGATGTCTTGATGGCCGAGGCAACAGGTTTCGGAGTGCTGGGATCTGAAGAAAAAGCCTGAGGGAACAGCAACCTCGACGATTTCCCTCCTGGGGCCTCTGTGGATCCTAAACGTAGCAGGCTACGTTATGTAATATAGACTACTAAATGCGGTTAGCCTATAATTAGTAAGCTACGCACAAAGTGTAGATTTCGGAGTTGGGAGTTAGGAGATGATATAGACAAATTTATTAGAACTCAAGCTTAACTATTGCATTCTGCGGAACTAGCTGTAGTAGAGCCACGAGTTATTTTTGTCACCATCCTGTTTCAATTGTGATCGATCGAAACCCACACCTCTACCAACTATCAGCATGATACCGGCTGGATAAAAGGTGCCTGCTAACTCATCTTTCGCTCTCAGCATAGAAGGAGCAAATTTTGTCATTTGAAAGGTGTGATGGACCAGGGAATGTGTGAGGAACGCATTGCTTGGGTCTAACATGGAGGAATCTTCAATTTTTTTTCCGGAGTTTTTTTGATTTTCGTAATTTTTCGTTTCTGTCTAATCAGCTGCACTTTTGGTAGTGATTCACGAGGTTTGAACGAGTTAGGCTGTAGGAAAGATTACAGGGAACCCTGCCGGCTCCGCCTGTCCTTGACCCAATGTGGAAAACATAGCTTTAGCTTAGGACAAAATAAACAAAACAAAACAACCGTAAGGTCTTGTGTTGGCCGGCTCAGTCTATATAAGCTGCCTGACGTGCCGACATTTTCGACTAAGCCCGACATGAAATAAATGGACCAAGGCCAGCCTGCCATGCACCCCAAACTATCAATTGAAGTCAAAATTATTCTCTAGTGTTACGGTTTGACCGTTGTTTGAGCTTAGGTGGATACCTAAGCCTGATACTAAGAATCCTTACAATGAGGCTGTATGGGGGTGGAGATGAAGCTGAACAAAACGGCACTACTACTCAGGAGGCTGAAGCGTCATTACAACTTAGTGACACCTGGAAATACGTGGCTGGGTAGAAGTATTGAGCCTGAGGACAAGTCACTAGTCTGTAGATTCACGAGGAGGATTAACTCCTATAAATACCTGTTAGTAGTAGCTAGAGTTAGCTTTTCTCCTCATATAGTTTATTAAATCGATTTATTCATCACCAACTTGGTTTCCGTCACATCTAGCTGAGACTTTTTATTCCAATACAGTAGAGAAGATATTTATCTATTTTAACAGGGAAGTTATTCATGATGTAGACCAATTGTCTCTAGATCTGAGCTCTAGCAAATACAGGCCAAATGTTTATAGTTTGGAGTACTAGTTATTGTTGTTATTGCATGCTTCAAAAAAGCATGTTTCATGAAGCCATTTACTAAACGCTAAGGCACCTTCAGGAGAGCCTAGAATCCAGGGAATTTCAGGCATTGAATGTCTAGTTTTGTCACGGAGGCAGGACCGACTCCGATTGAGTCGACAAAAGAAGAAGTGCTCGGGAGACTTTTCTAGCCCGCAAGCGCAGACGAGAAGGGCGTACGAGTGCTGAAAGTGGCAGGGGTAGTTTACAAAGTCGCCATGACCTGATCGGGCTGCAAGAAGGCGACTAAGAGCCTAGCGATTGAGGCTCTTAAGCTCTGAGGAGCTCCTAGTATTAGGATTAATTCCCAGATGTTGATATCGTTCAGGAGCGTTTTGGGACCAGAACATGGATATAGAGGCTTTGCATCGAGTGATTGTTGGAGATAGGGGGGCGTTATGGCTGTGCATGCTTGTTTAGCAAGTGCGTCAGCAGCTTTATTGCCAGGTATGCCGACATGTCCTGGGCACCATCGCACTTTGACTATACCTGGTTTAGAATAGTAGCTACGTTCTCTTTCTATCCACCTATTAGCGAGGTGTCGGAACCGAGCGATACGAGAGGAACTGCTTGGGGTAGGATTATCTATGAGGAGGCGAAGGGCGGCTTCCTAATTATCTAGACATATCGTAATATTTGTGGTCAGTCGAGCCATCGGATTATGGAGAGCAGCATCTAGGCCTTCAGTGGCCCCGGCTATTTCTGCATCATACACTTCGGCAGATTATCCGAGAGGAAGAGTCCCCTGCCCAACTCTTTGTGTGAGGCCTCGATAGATGACATATCCGTACCCTGCTCTGCCATCAACGAGGGCACCATTGGAGAAGACGAACAGATCCAAAAGGGATTGAGATGCTTGCTATCTATTGAATTCTTCGAGGCCATTTCTTCTGCCTATAGCCCCGATATTTTGTAGGAGTGTTTTGCGGTTGGTATTCCAAGGGGGTGGTATTATATCAGTAGAGAGTTCGGGAGACACTTTTTGTCGTATTCGCAACATGCGGGAGGAAGTCCAGCGTCGCCATGTGGAATTTTTTGGGTCTGCTGATGCTACTCGTACCGTAAAGCGGTCATGTATCTGTTCTAGCCATGAGCTAGCCGCTTCCCACCCGGTCTCTCGAAGAAGGGCAGGAGTTGGGGTAGACAGGGAGAACGGCTCTAGCGGCGTCGTTCATCCTACGCTGAACACGCCTTAATAAATCCAGTGGCGTGTTTTTGGAATACCATGTCTCGGCTCCAAAAAAGAGGATGGCGAAAGCTGTTCCTTGAATAGCTTGCCGAAGGAGGGGACTGATGCCACGGGTGGTGCATGAGCGTCTTTTAAGGTGGCTTATAATGGCTAGAGACTTCCTACAAGCTTCACTCACATGGTATCGGAATCATAACACCATAACTAGCTGCACCTGTGGCAACGATGATGGTCTGCCGCAGATCAGCTGATGCTCGATCTTACCACAAAAAGCTAGTGAAATAAAATTCGGGTGGTGCTTATTGTTGAATATTTCATCGAGAAGTCAAGGGCCGCAGAAACTTATAAAAAGGTATTGATCACATTATTTTAGACGTCTTTCGTTTGACAATACGCATGGATAATCCTAGCCCCACTATACTAGCTTATGAATCAAACTGATATCCAATTTGACTCTAACAGTGACTTCCCAAACCCGTGTAAAAGATTCATCATTTCAGTTGCAGCTTGCACAACTATCTATTTCCCTAATTCCAACAAGACTGCATAATTCAACCTCATCATTCTAAGTCACGGATTCATCATAGTTCCTGTTTCAACATAGCTGAATTGATGCAATAGAGTTTCATGAACTAGCAAGGTTACGCAAGAGATTGAACTGAAGACAATCTTCTTTGATAGAGAAGTTGCCGTCTGTCATTCTATCTTGCACTTGTTAGTAACCGCGGTAGTCATGTCTGCAATCCTTAGTACCGATGATCTGAACGATTTTATTTCTCCCGGCGTTGCTTGTATCAAGCCTATCGAAACAATTCCAAGTAATAACTCTACAACGGTATAGGCCCAATTAAATCTGATCTCAGGTCTAAATTGACTTGGTGCAGGATGATTTTGAAGTCTCATTCAACACAGACGCTACAGCCCCTCCCCCACCAGCTCAGATATCTCTCACCGACTGTCTTGCGTGTTCTGGCTGCGTTACTTCAGCCGAAGCTATCCTTGTTTCCCTACAATCTCATGCAGAAGTTCTAGCTGCGCTTGACTCGGCACCGGCTCTTCAAATTTCTCGGGATGGATTTGTAGATAATTTAGATCAGGGTGGTCGAATATATATTGCTAGTGTGAGCCCTCAGAGTAGAGCAAGCATAGCCGCAGCATTTGGCGTCTCAAATAGAGAAGCGGGATTTATGATAGAACAACTATTGAGTGGACCGAATGGCATTAAGAACAGAGCTGTTTACAGGAACTCCTTTCATTGGGTTTTGGACACAAATACGATGAGAGAAGTTTGCTTATTGCTTGGGGCCGACGAGGCTATGGAGTCGACATCTGTCGGAACTATGTCGGACTCTAGAGGTCATAATTCAAATGAATCACTTAAGAAACCTATTCTCACATCAATTTGTCCTGGTTGGGTATGTTATGCAGAGAAGACTCATCCTTATGTTTTGCCTCACTTATCTCGACTCAAGTCTCCTCAGGCACTCACTGGAACTCTAGTAAAAACAGTCTTAAGTCGGAAGTTAAATATATCACCGAACAGGATCTGGCATGTTGCTATAATGCCCTGTTTTGACAAGAAGTTAGAAGCCAGCAGAGAAGAGCTTACAGACGTGACATGGGCTGGATCAGGGGCTATGGGAATCCGTGATGTGGACTCAGTAATAACCAGCAAAGAATTATTGATGCTTGCAGAATCTAGGCAAATTCAATTCAGTAATTTGCCCCGATGCCCTATATCATTCATTCCTTTTCCCGACACAACAATAAATTCCTTCCTATTCCCAAACAGCCCAAAGCATTCGCCATGCAACAGTCTACAAGAAGCCGGCACCTCGGGTGGGTATTTATTCTATATTTTAAACCGATATGCCTCAAAACACGAAGGTGCCACTATTCACTCCTCTCGTGGTCGCAACATCGATGTCATGGAGTTTTCTGTTATTTCCTCATCCGGTAATGTTCTCTTCAGGGCTGCACGATACTACGGCTTCCGGAACATTCAAAATCTCGTACGCCGGCTCAAACCGGCTGTTATCAGGCGGCTCGAGCCAGCTCGTGCTGACACTCGCCCACGCAAGACCCCTACTCTCGCATACGACTACGTTGAGGTCATGGCTTGTCCAGGCGGATGCACTAATGGCGGTGGACAGATCAAAGAAGAAGATGCAAGAGTATTTGTCTCTCAGCGAGAGCCACGAGCTTGGCTTGCTGCTGTTGACGAAGCTTACTTCTCTGCTGACGAGGGCTCAGACATGTGTGGTGCTGATTCACAATGCTCAGCAAGTTCTGACGAGTCTTTCACTTATATCAAAAATGTTCTTGCCCATTGGAGCGCTACTACTAGTATTAATATGCGAAAACTAGTCTACACATCTTTTCGCGAAGTTTCGAGTGATGTGGGCAAAGAGAGTGCAGATTCTCAGCAAATTACTTCTATTGCTGGAAAAGCTTGTGGGGGTTGGTGACAGCTCTCTCTATGACCGATACGGATATTATTTTTTCTATGAATATTACATCTTGGGCGGGGATTAGGAAAACTTGCTAAATTAAACCTCAACGTGCTTGATAACACCATCTTAAATGACTCCCAGGTCTCCCTTTCTCATGGATTTCCGCTTTTAGTAACTCTAGTCCGCTATAATTGAACCTAAGTCCTAAACCAACAAGACATAACTGTACCATGTAGCTCAGTAAAAGTGTCTCACTAGAGTGACGAACCAGCGATCTTCTAGTTGAAGAAGATGAGAAACATAAGTACTCGAACTTGGAAGACAATGATCCGGACCTTGAACTAGCTCGCGTCACGACTACAAATAGGTTGAATATTTGTGCAATCTTAACACAAATGACCTCCCCTCTTAGAAAACCCACATCCAGACTCTCCAGAATCATTGGGTCCTCTTGGTTCTCGAATAATAGTGTTGTATTCTCGGCCGGCACACCGTAGACCAGCGCCATTTCTTTTTAATGCAGGGACGCCCGCTGATGATGTATGGTTTGGATCGTACAGAAGGCCTTTGTTTGTTGTCTGAGTAGCCAGCCTAGGGTCTTCATGATTATTATGACTCCGCACGCTCGCCTTGTTTTTTTGGTTGCCACGATGGGCTGGCACAGCGTCGGTAGATCTAAGTGGATTTCCCAACACGTTTTCGTGACTCGTTGAGTCTTTGGACCCTAGGATACGAGCACGCGCAGCGTCGTAGCGCTTCTGTTTTTCCTCCCTATCCCGTTGCGCCTTCAGCTTTAGCTCACCTGCAGTCGGCTGAGATTTTGACTCGTTGTCTTCATCGTCTTTTTCGAGTACGAGCTTGGATATGCCAGTTGCAGGATCGAGTCGCTCGATCATGCGTGGTGCGGGATTGCGGCTGAGAACCTTCAGGGCCGGCTTGAATTCGGATTTCAAGGGCACATTATCGCGAGCTGCTAGGTAGTGAAAGGTTTTCAGTTCTTCTCTGCCGATAGGATTAGCGAAGAATACGTCTGGTGGGGTACATGTCGAGGCATTACGCAGCATTCCAGATCTTCTTATTACTTTCAGCGTGTTCGGCGAGGCGCTCGGCTTTCGTGATTTTATCAGGCTGTTCAACTGTCTCGCCATCATATACAGCGTCCACCTGCGATTCCCAATCGTCATCCCACGCGTCGGGAACCATCAATTTTTGGCTCATGGCTGTTCATCAAGGATGAAATGGGAGATCAATAGTAGATAGTCCTGCCTGATTTGGGAGGTCGGTGCGAGTTACATTGGCTTCGACAGGGCTAAGCACGCTTCCTCGTCCCACGAGTCAAGCGGGGCTCTAGTCTATGCCTTTGCCTTAAGCCTGCTTGTCAACCGTTGATAGTAATTATCAGTATAAAATTACAAAATGTCGTGTGAGTCATAGCGCGTCCAAATATTTCAAACTGACCCTTCTTAAATCTGACTGAAGCAGCGTCTAAGATTAACCAGCAGCGCCTTCGAGATAAGTCTAAAGCAACAGCAAGTGAAGAGCCTACACAGTCCTCTGACCCCCATGCCACGCAATATGCTAGCACTACTAGCTACGCTCTCGATGATAATATCAAGATGAAATTCAATTCCGGCGCCCCTGGCTCCAGTTATGATTCTAGAAAGTATGCCGAGGAATATGATAGGGCCGAGGCATCATTACTTGACCGTGAATGGGACATATGTTCGTCATAAGACTAAACGACCTGTTCCATTTTCTGACTCATCATTAGCTCGTTACGGCGACCCGTTAACTAACGCTATTATCTAAAAGTTACTGATATATCACCCCTAATATTCAACCGGATAAATCAAGAAAACGCGCCGAGACTCATCATCCAACCTTAAAATTGGCCCAGGCAAAAGTTGATTATTATTTTGATCAACTATTAAGAGGGATAAAAATGTCAAGTAATCATTGCAGGATTACAAGAGTAGTACCTTGTGCCCTGTTCACATCATGTAAATCGCCTTGACGAGTCAATGTTGATCATCACGAACAGGACATTGGTTTTTAGTCAAGAATGACAAACAAAGCTCTTTCTTTAAACGACAAATAGTGAACAGATAGTTTCCCTGGCAATGTAATAGGTCTGGTTAAGAATGTTTGTTTTCCCCATGTTTACGATTACATCTTGGTGACCAGAATAACATGATCCAAAGAGGTGCTAGTATACATCGACCAAAGACGTTATCTTCTGGCAAAACTTTACACTTACTTTTACGGACTCCTGTTCGTTTAGCTAAGATCTAAGAGTAGCCTTCAGCACCGCTTAGTGGGCAGCTTTAATTGCATCTTTTTTTTAAGATTATATCCTTACAGTGATTTCATGATCTACCTCTAGGTTATTTTTGATCTATTTTTTCGTCGAAGCAGATATGTATTTTGGAGTGAATGTCAATCTGCATCGAGTATCGCATGCGGCATGCGGAATGTGAGTATGATACAATTAATAGACCAAAGAATTGAGGAACATTGGTCATATGAATCATCCACTGAAATAGAGCAATGCTTTTACTCAAGCCTTTAGATTAACTTACCTTATTAATTTAAGACGAAATTGAACGAAAATCTAAAGCTGAGCTATCGAAAAACAAAGATTGAACTAATTATCGGCATGTCCACAAAATTTTGAGTTTAGTTTGCTGACTGCAACAATGTAAGATTCTTCCTTTCATAACGGCAGTAACAATGACTTTTAAGTGTCGGTGCATACGATTATTTGTAATTACGATGACTCTGGAAGGAGACTACTTTTGACAGCAAACATCTTGCTGCAGATAGTAGCAGTGAAGCCATCAACTTGTCGTGAATATTGGTCCACTTGCCGGGCGTTAATCATACTATCAAGTCTGCTTGGTTCGGCAGGTAATTTAAATAATTTATCCCATTCATCCTCAGGTAATGGTGGCAGTTTTTGGGAGACTCGAGTCACATTTTCAGCTGCGCGTTTTGTTTTCCATGCAGTAATTTTAGTCTGCTCACGCGCTAATTGTCTCTGAAAGTATTGGAAATTGTTAAGTTCAGTGTGATGTGTTTCGATACTATCCAGTAGCTGATCGCAAGTTTTTTCGAGGAATGGATCGATAGAAAGGTCTAGGGAATCCATGTTCGGATACAGAGGAATGGGTGTTTGTTTGTTATTTATTTCGGAGAGACTTGCAGGAATCTGTGACTTTGCTGGAATGATGGTTGGAAGTTGATGAAGGAATGAGGTTAAGAGGTGAGAATTGTGAATGATGATAGGTAATTCGACCATGATCTCTTTGTAAGAAAATTTAGACTTCTGTAAACTATTTCTGGTAAGTATTTTTTGAGTGCATGTAATAGCCTGCTTACATTTCTGTGGTGAACTTGCCCTCCTTGTATGCTGCCATGAATGTCGGAGACAGCCTTAGAGCTTGTAGGCAGAGGGCACCCTGCGAGCTCTTTCCGACGTCATAAACTATAGCAACTGTCCTTTCATTTACCTCCTTTTGATAATGATATTGATTTTCGATGAAGTTAGAGTTAATGAAATTCCCCATATTTGCACTTGTGTACCACCCTACACTATTTGCGTCAACATTGACTTCACGCAAGCATTTAATCATTTCATTTTGATACGTAGTATTTGATTTAGAGCGTGGAGCAGCAGCAGCTAGGTTTGATGCAGCAGCGTGGTCATTGGAGTGCGAGTCCGAATAAGATATCTCGGTGCTCGGAAGAGGGAAGCAGTTTGTAACTTGGAGGGTCTTGTCCTGATCCATACCCACCAAGGAGCCAAATGCTGTGCTTGGAAAGGCTGTAGAGCAAGCTTTGATTATTTTCATAACCACCTAATGATTGTCATAGTTAGCCAAAGTTGTCTCGAAATATTTTGAGACAGTGTACCAAGGCGTCTATCTGCACCTCATTTAGAGGAGTTTCTTTCAATTGTAACTCCGCCATGATTACGGGTAGCTTAGAGTGGCGCACCCAAAAACGAGGTAAATTAGTTAAAACTAAAAAGGGTTGTGTACTAATTCTCAGAAAAGGAATGGGAAATGAATAACTGTCCTTGGAAACGAATTTGGTCGTGTTTGTGGGATCGCAAGCGATACAGAAATCCTAGATACAATTACAGCCGGCCTTTTGTCAGCCCTGAGAGTTGCCGCTTAATGTCATGAGCTAAAAAATCTCACAAATCTACTCAGTCTCTCTAATAGATGTATCGGAATAGATCAAGCAACTAAGATTTAAAAATTTTGCAGTTAAATTTTAGATCTTTCGCCGGCAAAGACGAGCTCTTCACCTTCCAGTGACGCCGATGTAATCGGTCAGTATGCTCTGCATACATAGGATAGCCAAGAATAACCGCTCCCGGATCGCAATCGAAACCAATCACAAGAATAACTACAATAGAAGACTTCTCATCAATGTCGATCTTGTCATTCTCATTCTCATTCGAGCCTCAACCTCAATATCTTCACACATCATCTCGCCTCAATAACCGATGAAGGAGTTCCTCTAATTGAAAATAGAAGCTCGCCCTATTAATTACCAACTATCTCCCACTCTAAAGATACGATGCTATTTATATCCGCAAGGAGACAAATAAGTCGAATGATACAAAACTCAGTATTTAGTTTACGGGGGAATGCTGCTACCTTAATATCTCTGCCTACTGAGGGAAGACAGGCAATTGAAACCTTGAAAGGAAAAAAATAAATAGGTCCCCAATAGTTATGCTAGTACTGATAGATCCTGAGAAGTTTCGATTTGGGATGCTTGTGAGCACTAAACCTATTTTTAGAGTATTTAACTCAGAGGACTTCTATTATCTACAGATCCAAGACATTCCCCGGCGCCAATTGTGAAAGAAGTTGGAATAAGCAACTTTACTTACAAACGGACTCTGCTAAGACTTTCTTGACAGTTTAATACAACCTTCGGTAAGGTCTCGAAAGGATGCTAGAAAGGCAAATTGTACCTTTCTATGGGTATACACAAGTCTGCAGCGCCTAGATGGTCAGTTTCTTCGAACACTTCAGAAGAGTCGCCATGTCTTCGGATTTAATCATGATGTCAGTACTGAGAATGCTCCGCACTAAGTTTTTTGTAAATTTTACCGGCTGCCACACACGCGCAAATTGATTTCGTTTCGTTGATTAAGGAAAAGTATAATTACGGCATAGCAATCAACTATTTGTTTACTGAAGTTAAGGCCTATGGGAGCATTGCCGCCGGAAATAAATGGGAATGGACTTATAGATACTCCTGGGCCATAGGTATAAAGAACTTACATATGTCTTATTAACCGATCCAATGAGATGAAAATCACCAAGTTGACACCAAACAATCAATAAGGGCTATGCTCGATGTGCTCGCTTTCTACCTTCATAGCAGTACAACTTTGGGCTCTAAATAGCTAGATAGCTGCATACGCAATTCAAATCTGATGCAAAAAAAAATATTCATCTGGAATTGCTCTATCCAACTCTATGTGAAGATTTACTTTGTTTTTCTTTTGATATTGCCAGCGTTACTTACCTTGGATTCGTAAGGCCGATTTTTGGTTTGTCTCCAGATTTCCGCTCTATAATTTGATCATCGAGGGCGCTACAAGATCATGTGCTTGAAATTCTATAATCGATGGTAACATGGACAGCTAGGACTGTAGTCTTCTGGTATTTTTTTTCGTTGTAAATATGAGGTAATGCCCGCAGGCCCAATTTCAATTTGCATTCATAGACTAGTTTAGGCCTTCGCTTGATCACGGTAAAGAGAGACTGGCGATTCATTGGAGACATATTTTCCACCGTTCCGAACATCTACCTCGATAGAATTTGACTGCCATCCAGATTTCGGTTTAAAAATACTGTGAAGGGACTAATCACATTAGCTATTCGCATGAAAATGAGGCGTAAATTAGTTTATATTCTGTGTAAAGAAAGAAGTTGTGATGGTATTTAAGTCTCACATGACCAAGTCATGTGACAATCTTGTAATTATTTGTAGCCTTCATAGTTTATAATAAAACTTCATGCTTTGATCACAACAGGTTATGGCCCTTTAGCCGCTTCCAATTTGTTCTCAGCTTCCGTTTCTTAATCAACGACATTGATTAAGGTGCTCTCGTATTCATCTAAATATATTATCCGAAAGCAACTCTCGCATATCTTCACGATGTCTGACTCCTTTAAGGCCCCGACTACTGAGGGAAAACATCCCCTCAAAGATGATAATTCTCCTTCCGATGAATTAAATGATATAATCATTGGTGGTCTCACATTCGCTACTGCGGATGACTTGAAAGAATCGATCAAAGAGTCTCAGAGAAAGACAGAAATCTGGGCGCTAACTGACCGATTACAAAGCATTGACAAGATGACACCACTTCCTTGTCTTAAGAAAAACAATTGGTTTCCATGGTTTGAATCCGTCGAAAGTCTGATTTTTTTATCCCAAACCTCTGCGGCGTTCCTTCCTCAACTACCTCGAAATAAAACCATTCGAATGTGGTCAAGGTGGTGGGTCGCTAAACTTCGTGAGACGGCCCCTCATATTAGAACAGCACCTCGTGATAACCCTCGAGCTATCCTGAATGAAATCGTTACATCTTCTCTAGCTGCTTCATTTTCAAACGTAAACTCCATTGTTTCTCGATTTTGGACTTATCAACCTGAAAATAACACCAATTTACAAAGCTTTATGAAAGAGTATCAAAAGCGTTATCAGGATTTAAGGGAACATTTTCAGATTACGACAGAAATTCACTTTCAGATGCACCATCTCTTACTCTTTCACGTTAGAAAGCTCCAGCCTGATCTGGCAAATCGGTGTGGAAACTCGAGGGACAAAAGACGATCGGCGAGTGGTCAAAAGCTGGCGTGAACTCAAATCATAAGATTCTAAACTAAAGAGAAAAGTATCTAGGAGGATATGAATCTGTATATATTTACATAAGAGTTCAACTGTTGAAATAGAGTTGCCAACACGAAACCTCCTGTCCCTCATTGCCTACAACCCAAGGGCTTCGCATGAAAACCAATACCCATGATAAACCTTTCGTATCGTGATTTGTCACACACAAGACTCGTGTGTGTGAAACTAGTCGTTGGAATTCCTGGATTGACCCTGTGTCGGCTTACCAACTATTGGACCGACGACCACGTGGCCACTAAAATTTCGGGGCGTTACAATCAGTGCCGTGATCTATCATATGAAAACACAATCTCTGAGTGTCTAAAATGGACCTGTAGTAGTTCGTTTAGATCCTCAGGCAAGCCAAAGGCTTGCAATTTTTGTCATATCGTTGGACACAGTGAAGACAAATGTGGGAAGAAAATGAACGTTCATAAGGGCAAAGCTCAAGAACAACCTCGATCGGGTCTAAATCAAGGGAACAAGAATATTCTTTCTGTTGATAAATGTTTAGAAGATTCTAGTTATCAGTTGGATACTGCTGCGGATTTTCACGTAACTGGAAATAAATCAGACTTTTCTACTTATTCCCCTGCATTGCAGACTATTTTTGTAGCCGGAGGAGGTAAAGTGATAACTTCTGGCCGTGGTGACCTAAATTCTCCCACCGTTGACGGTAAAACCGAAATCTTAAAGGGAGCTATTCACATGCCAGGTCAAAGAAATCAAATTCTCTCCTCAGCACAACTAGAAAGCCAAGGATTCTCAATACGTTGGCCATCAGAATATCGTAATGTCGAACTTCTTCGTCCTGATGGTACAGTTTGTGCAATTTTTTGTCGTACTTCTGGCAGGTTAATATATAAGCCCCCTTTGAACCTAGTAAACCCTGAAATCTATCCCGTGCAACGCGATTGGCATGGTATACTTGGTCACCGTGGACAGAAAGCATAAGACATAGCCTTAAAAACTGCAGGTATTAAAGGTTACAAATTTCCATACGACTGTGAGACTTGCATCAAAACCAAAATCACCAAGTCCAAAGGATATAGCTCTTTACGTAGTGCATCTTCGTTTGGAGAGGTCATCCATATGGACCTAGTCGGAGGACAAAAGTCATTGTTCCCTACCACGACTGATAAATCGATTCCTAATGCAAGCTGGTTTCTCCTTGCCGTTGATGAGTTCACTTCCTGGAAGTGGGCATGGCCAGTCTACTCGAGGAAAACTGTGCCTAGCTAAATTGTTCAACTACTGGAACATTTAATTACAAAATTTGGCAAAACTCCTAAAACTATACATACCAATAGTGGCACTGAATTCTCTAACTCGGATCTCCAACAAAATCTCTTATCCCGCGGAATCGAGTGGCATGGGTCCTCCTCACACGCTCCAGAACAAAATGGAATAGTGGAGAGAAATGTCCGCAATGTTACAGAAAAAATGCGTGCTCTTCATTTACAATCTGGCTTACCATTAGGTTTGTGGCCTCTCATTCTTGCAGCTTCCATTTATACCCTCAACGTCACTCCTAACTCTGTCTCTCCAAATTCGCCGTATTACTCAGTTTTTCATACAATGCCTAAAATTCATAATCTTCACCCTTTTGGCTGTCGTGCTTTTTGGCTTGAGCCAGACAGCAACAAATTGAAATCCAAAGCCAGAGAAGGTATTTATGTTGGCTGCGAATTCTCCGGTGGCCATATTATTTTGAATCCCAAAACTCAACGAACAATTGTAGGACGTGATGTCCGCTTCCAAGAAAACTCTTTTCCTCTCAGACTTCAAGTTCATGCTCTTCATTCAACTCGTCAAGTTATCAAGACAGCTTTATCTGGACCTAGAGCAAATGATTGGAATAACGCTATGAATGAAGAGATAAAAATATGATATGATACGAAATAAGGTCTGGACTCTCGTCCCTCGAATTGAAGCAATGGGCAAAGTAATGATAGGAAAATGGGCTCTCAAAGAAAAGACAAATGGGCAGCTAAAAGCAAGATGGTGTGCTCGTGGATTTTCAGATCCATTTGCGGATGACACCTACGCTGATGTCCTTCCTCCAACGTCAATGCGCATGCTCTTGGCACTAGCCGCTGGGCACAACCTTTATATTCGCCATGTTGATATTACAGCAGCGTTTCTTCATGCAGAAATTGATCGCCCAATCTACATTGAGCAAGCACATGGTA